TTTATGCAGCCTGGCATTGCCTTGTGGAATTACAGCAATGGGGGAACTTGTGGAGCCAGAGACTGCTGGGGGTCTCTGAGGGATCTTTACTCCCCCCTTCTCTCATCCTTCATCTCAACCTCAGACACCAGCCACTGCCCTTTCGGTGAGAGGCTGTAGTTTCTCTGTTTTACCTTTCAGGCTGTCCTAATGATTGGGGATGGATGGACGGGAAGGTGGAGAGAGATTCTTCTATGTTCCAGTTTTTTTTGAGATATAATTGTCATGTAACATTGTGCAAGAGTAAGTGCATAAGGTGTTGATTCGATACACATACATTCCAAATGATTGCCTTGTTAACTCCTGCATCATGTCACATAATTACCATTCCTTTTCAGTGCCGAGAACAATTAAGATCAGCTCTCAGCAATTTTCAATTATATGGCACAGTGTTATTAATTATGGTCACCATGCTGTACATAGGATCTCCAGGACTTACTCATCTTAGAACTGGAAGTTTCTGTTCTTTGACAAACATCTCCCTACTCTCACCCCAGCCCTGGTAACCTCTGTTCTACTCTCTGCAAGAAACCGATTCCCTTAGATTTTGCCCACGTTTACCTCTCTGTTTTTTTTTTTTTCTTGAATAATCAGTCAATCATATTTCCTTTTGTTAGGTTTCTTTCTTATATTTGTCTGATTTCATATACAAATCAATGCTTTCCTTTCACACCTCTGGGAAGATCATGTGCTTCACTGTATTACTTTCATTTGTTCATTCATTTATTATTGATTTAAGCGTCTGTTCATGAATTGTTTACTGGGTCGGTGCTGGAAACTGCAACTTAGCAGCTAAAAAGGAAATGCAAGAAGTGGTGGGATGAAGTAGTGTCTTCAATCTAGTGTACCCTTTCTTGGCAGCTTGAAGATCTCATACCTTAGTCTGATTTTTGGTTCTGAACCCCTTGAGACCTCTGTGAACCAGATAATGATTGCACACCTATGTGAACACGAGATCTGCATTCAGTTTGAGAATCTCTGCCACATAACTGATCCTGTTATGTGCCTTAGCTCATTGCATTATCTATGCATTCAAACATTTCTAACCAGCTGGTCACATTTGCAGCCTGAATGCAGAGAGAGAAAGAAAAAAAAAAAAAACAACTTAAAAAGCAAATGTATTTAATTTGAAGTTTTACTTGAAGTCAAACAATTATGATCATTAGAAAATACTTTAGAAAATTAATAAAGTTAGAACTGTAAATTCAATCAGAAATATTCAGAGTTAAAAATGATGCTATTCACTCAAGTGATAATACTCTTTGTATTGGCTTTCTCTTGTCTGTACATGATTGGGGTTAGCAGATTAATTTTCATTCTGGTGGTTTGCTGGAGTCTTTCTGACCCAGGGGATCTAGAGAGAATTGAACTTCATTCCTGGGGTTGGTAAGTGTCCAAGCCCAAGCTTGGTGGCTTGCTGGAGGGCTTACTTCCTGCCTCCTCCCCACTGTTTCAGGCTCTAAACCTTGCTCTGGCCCCATTGTGCCCATAGCAACCTTTGTATTTAATTGCCACAAAACCACTTTCCCCAGGGCATTTTCGTGAGTAGCTCACTTTACTGAAGCTTTGGAGGAGCAGGAGAGAAATTTGCATCACCACCAGTTAACGCTTCATGCTAGATGGACCTGCTTCAGAAGTCCCAGGAAATCTTGCAAATGAGCTCAAGAGGCTCCCGCGTATCCACAGGCAATCCTTTTTTCTTCTCTTCCTCTCTTTTCAGGTTGTCTCCTTTCTTTTCTCCTCTCCTTTCCTTTCAGGGTATAAAATCAACCTTTCCCCACTTTGAATTATTTATTAAATTTTTTTTATTTGTAATGCAGAGCAGTTAAACCCTCACCCGTTCTGGTTTCCAACAGCCAAATGCAGCCTGGTGCCTCTGTGTGCACAGGGTGGGAGTGGGTGGATTAGGAAGGAGCCCTGTGGGGTCCCTTCTTTCTCCTGAATTTTTGGACAATGACAGTCATCGCCCTCATCAGGGTCTGGGATGGGACAGAACAAGTGTGTTCTGGGTATCCCATGTAGAGAAAAGGATAAAACCATAGCTTATGGTCAGTTAGGGCTTGAATTTGGACTTCATTTCTTGGCTGTATGTCCTGGGGAAAGAGAATCAGCTTTCCTGAGCCTGTTTTTGTTATAGGACAGGGAGAGGGTCAGCCCAAACCCCGCAAACCTGCCTATTCTACATGGGTTCTGCCATCCACCGCATCAACACAAAACATAGGAGACTTTAATGGGAAGGAACTTTAATAAAACTAGGAAACAATACAGGTAAGGCAAAGAGTCTAGTTTCTAAATGAAGCATCCAGAGTTACCCATCCCCTCGTGGGTAAAAGTCCATCCAAATGGGATTGGCCCAGAAAAAGACCCCAAAGCCTGCTACAAGTCTAAAGCACCTTCCAGTGGGGACCCACAGAAAAGGGTCACAAACAACTGGACAAGCCCTGAAGGAAAAGAGCAAAATCAACATCAAGATAAAAGCTGCCATTGTCACCTCCCCATGGGTCTCACCCACATCTGTGTCACCTAGTCCACGACCAAAAGACAAGCGCAGTTTCTTCACGTGTCTCTAGGCTCCATGCGCCTCTTCCAGGTCTCCTGGCTCCATCCTGCTTCCTTCCTCAGTCTCTTCTGCAGCTTCTCCTCTTCCTGCTCAGCTCCACCCTCCCTTGGGTGGGGCAGGGAACCTCCCCCTTTCCTGGGGACCACCCTGTTACATTTTCTTAGTGCTAAAGTACAGAGAATATTCCTTCCTCGCAAGTTGTAAAAAGGATAAAATTGAATAACACACCAGTTGTGGAAGGGGTCAAAGGGGACACCCCTAAAGCGCCTGCCTCCGAACAGGCTCCTAATACGTGTTAGTTTCCTTTCTTTTCAACTGACAAACATGTTCCTTGAGGATGTTAAGATGAAATATTTATGAATTTGCACAATTCAAAAAAATTAAACGTGAAAAGGGACCTTCAGATTTGGATGAAGCAAATGATCATCCCACTTGTCTTTGCTACAATCTGTTTGAGACGCAGCCCCGGGTCTGCCTGTGCTTATGTGCAGTGCTCAGCGCAGTGGGGCTTGACCAAATCTGATCTCTCTTTGCAGCTTCATGCAGTTGTAAATATTAGGGATTGTGGGTGTGATTTGAGGCCACCTAGGTGACTGAAGCCCAGAGCTGTCCCTGAAGCATTATTTCCAGGTGGGTGCATCCTAGCTGAATATAAACACTCCCTGGTGCCTGGGGTTTGATCTGCAGATGCTCACAAAGCACATTGAAATGGAGATCTTCCTGCCAGAAAGAACTCATGGACTGATTTTCTCTAAAGCAGAGCAGAGCCTAGTTAGTCCCTGTTGTCGGTTAGGCCGATTTCAACCATTGGCCAAAGACTACCTGGACAAATTCCGTGCAGGTGGATTTTAAATTCTGGGGTGCGAGGGCTTATGTTGGAAACAGCGGCCAGCGTAACAGGTCATGTCCTAGAGGCAGCGAAGAATAAACTAAAGACTTCTATAAAATAGAGTGTTTGTATTGTCCAGTTACCTGCGTTGGGGTCTGCCAGGCCAGCCTGGGACCTGCTAAGGATGACCCCAGCTAAGGATGGTTTTGCATATTTAAGCAGTTGTGAAAGAAAACTCTGTGTGAACCATCACATAAAACCTTATCATTTTCTCTCTAGCCTTTTTGAAAAAAGGTCGGTGGTCCCTGATATAGAAACCAAAATATTTCAGATTAATGAAGGCAAAATGTGGTGATGATTGAGTTTTTATAGTCGTACTCTGATTTGTGGCTCTCACGATCTGTCTCTTCCAACAAAGCTTAATGGGCATTATTTAGGATTAATATAATAACATTTCAATATTTAATTGTGCCTTGCTGTTGACACCTGGGGTTATTTCAATTTTGTCGAGAGAACAGACTTTGTTTGATGTTCTAGAAGTAGCTCTCATGTCTGCCACTCCTCCCTGGGGCCCCCAGCTGTTCACTTCCTCACTACAGTTCACCTGTCTGAACAGTGTGACAGTGTACCCTCCGCACCCCCTGCTCTGAAAATGGGTGAAGGGCCCAAGTCAGGAAAGCTTGCTGAAACTTTTTGCCTTATTGTGTACCTGTTTCCCAGAGAAGTGAGCCAGGGTTAGCCCCTGCAGGGATGGTCCGTTTTGAGGGAGGTGCACAGGTGCCAGAGCACAGGTGCAAAAGGCATAAGCAGATGTCTCCAGGAGGATGATGTCTGGGATGGATGCTTTCATAGTGTCAGATGAGATTGGGTCATCATTGTAGCCCACTTACTGGGAATTTTAAGATGCATGAAACTCCAATTCCAGTAGGCAGTGAAGAGTCATTGCTCACTTTAAAAACGAGCAGTGTGAGCGCTGGGAGGGTGAAATGAAATCACAAAAAGGCTGCTTTCCTCCAGCGCTGACTGCCTGGGCATTGGCCAAATGCATGACATGGGCCATCTCATTTAATCTTCACACCTACTTGGGGAAATTTATTGTTATCCCTTGTTTGCAGATGAGGACATTTGGGCTTAGAGAGGCTAAAATAAGTTGTCCACAGTTCTAAAGTTAATAATGGGCAGAGCCAGGGCAGTCTAACTCAGAAGCCTAAGCTCTTGGGTTTACATTTTAACATTTTAACAAAACAGAAAAGGGGAAAAGCAGTTGCAATTCTGCCTTGCAGGAATGTCCTCACTGGGTTGCTCTCCTTTCTGTGTATCTGCACAGCATAAGCATAACCCATGCCTGGATTACAAAAATCCTGTGCCTGCGGACTCCGCATTTACCGCACCATACTATCCTACTCCCCACCACGTTTAAAACTAATTTTCAATTTTTAAGTATATGAAGTATACTATTTCGCTTTAGGACTGTCCCCTCCTCCACTTAGCCAGTCCTCTAGAGATCATGGCAGGTTCTTGAGCTTCATAAAAATTTCTAACTGAGCTCATGCATTTTCACTTTCTTTGCAGCATGCCCTTGACGCTGACAACGCAGGCGTAAGTCCAATAGGAAACTCTTCCAACAACAGCAGTCACTGGGACCTTGGAAGTGCCTTTTTCTTTGCTGGAACTGTCATCACTACCATAGGTACCATTAATTTGCTAATCTCTTTTCCTCTGCAGGCCGTCCTGGGTAATGGCGCCAAGTTCATGTTCTGTCCTTAGAATACACAGCAGTTTGAGGTCCCAAGGAGGCTTATGAAACACTGTCAGATTAATGCAGTCAATTGTGGTGGCTTTCAATTCTAGGCAAAACAGATTGAAGAATTTTATATTTAGGGAGACTTTCGTTGGACAGGATTTAATGAAGAGGGAAGAGTGAAAAATCAGAATATGAATAAGTCAGTTGAATTCAGATGGCTCAGCTGAGCTCAAATTCTTTGGGGAAAAAAAATCATAATTTTTATTAAAGTTACCTAGGAAAGAACCGGAGTGTTCTACAAAGTCTGTCACATAAAACAGCAGTCTGCTGGCCTCCCCCGTTTTTATTTTCCTGGGAGCAACAACTTTGATTTCATTTGACTTACTATTTTGATGTTCTTCTCCATGCCTTTAAATATCACACTTGGAGGACTGCTCCCCAAATTTTCAGTAGCGGAGATTATTTCTTTTCTTCCCATCGTGGAAGACAAGGAATTTATTTCCTTTCTTCCATCTACCCTACTTTAGAAGTGCTCATCCCATCCTCCTAGCTTCCCAGTGTAATTTAATTTGATCAAAATGATCATCTGCTTGGTAATTTTTGACTTGATAAATGCTCTGGATGACTGATCATATATGGTGGTAAGCTCTGCTTCTTTCCTGTACTAATTTTTGTCTTATTTTATTTGCCTGTCTTCTGATCCTCGGGGAGGTTTCTTTTTGTCTTAGTGATTAACTTTTATAATTATAATCATGTTTAAAGCAGTATTCTATTAGATAAGCAGTGTCTATTAGTTTCCTATCATGGGTGACATCTCTTCCGATCATACAATTTTAGCAACACCATCCCTTTAATATTTACTTTTAAATTATTAAATAGGCTTATGCTCCTAGTATATGATTTATCCACTTTAAATGATAAGTCTTGGCTCTCTGTCATTGCATTTATTTCAGGCAGGGAACTTATTTAACTTCACATTTCTTTGCTATTGATCATTACTTGTTGTGTCATTCTATAATATCAGGGTAAAAAATTTGCATTCTGTTCTGTTATCCTGAAACTCATCTTTGCTTTCATCTTAATTCCACAGTTAAATATTGCCAGTGTTCACTGCTAGTCCTCTTGCTGTGCTCTTCCTCCTCAGCACATGCTTGGCTGAAACTCATCTTTAAGTAGTCACTTTAAGAATAACTCATGGGAGCTATATTCTCTGCATTCTTGAGTTATGCAAAATGGTAGCTCTACACTTGAAGGACAGCTTGGGTGGAAATGAAATCCTTGACTTTGCAGGTGTCGCTCCAATACCTCCTGATGTTTATGCAGCTGTGGAGAAAATTGATGCCCAATTCTCCCCACCCCCTTTTCATATGAAACTTGACCTTTCTTGCTTGACTACTCAAAAAATTATTTCTTTGTATAGCGTCTGATAATACTATCAGGTGTTGTCCTCTTTATCAGGAAGATTTTCTTGATTGTCATCTTTAAAGATTTTCTCCGCTGTATGGTTTTGCTCTTTGGGAATTCCAACTCTATGCATATTATAACTCCTTTGCTTGTCTTCTATGGCGATCGTTTTCCCTCTAATCCTTTTGAACTCTTAGAATTTGGTTTTCATTTTATTCATTTTTTTTGTGTATGGTTTTTAGTAAATATTCTTTTATGTGCTCCTTGCCATTTAATTTTCATTTTTGTGATCATTGGGATATTTTCCCTCTTCCATTGTTTTCCTGGATCTCATGAGCTCACATTTCAGCCTCATGTATCATCTCACCATTTCTTTCCTAATTTCTGCTTTGTGGTTTCTCCAAGGAGATTCTGAGAGGTGATTACTTCATAGTTGGTTACAATTTTTGTCTGATCAGGATGACATTTTTCTGCTGAGTGTCTTTCTTTCATTGGTAAGTTTTGCTGCTCTTTTCATTTTTTTTTTTTAAGTGGAAGCTTTGTATTTATGCCGAGCTTGCTTCTGTTTTACTTGATCCCAAGAAAGCTGGATATTCCTGCATCGGCTCTCTCTTAAATGCTTCCATGGAATTGGGGAGAGAAGGGCAGGGTGAGGCAGGGCACCTTCTTAGGGGGCACGTCACAAGACACTCCTCTTTCCTGCTGCCGAAGAGACAGAACACTTCCTACAAATCTGGCCCATTGCTGTCATTCTTGTCTAGTCCTGCCTTTTCTGTTTTTCTGAACCAAGTCAAGTCCCAGGGAGATTCTGCTGCTCTCTTTTTTCACCCTGAGCTGTATGCTTAGTGCAAATAAAAGTATTTGTTTTGAAGTTCACCTCACCTGATTGGTTTTTGCTGTCAGTGGCCACTGGTAGACCTGTCCATCATTCTCTGTGCAGCTTCTCTTCATTTTTTTCCTCATTTGGCTTCCTGTCCAATTTCAGCTTCTTTTGGTAATTCTTACTCCTATGGTGGGTTCTAGCATTTATATCTCTCTCCCAGCTCTGCTTAAAATTAATTTGATGGTTTTCTAATCCCCCCTACAATAGTGAAGTAATACTATAATAAAAATTCATAATCAGAAGATTGGAGACACACAGCAGTCACCAATCCATAACAATGACAGAGAGGCAGTGAGAGGGTTCCTCACAGTGGGAGGATTCCTTCATTAACACCTGCTTGTACTCCAAGTGGAACTCTCTCATTATTGAGCTCTGTGCCTCAGCTATGCCTTCTGGAAGGTTCTTTCCTCTCCCTTATCCTTCATACCCATACCTTACCTGGGTGTTGGAAGAGTATGATTATGCCTTCCTTGAGGAGGGGGGGGGTGCACATCTTTGACTTGCTATTGTTTCAGAGCCTAAGGGTTATTTTAGAGGCATAGGTTTTGTTTTTGTTTTAGGACTTGTATTGTTTATACATTGGTGCAACTAAGAAAGTGATGTGCAGTAAGAAAACTTGCAATGAAAGAGATTTGTCATTTGTTTTTAGAAAGCCTCTTCATCTAATTATATGACACACTAGAGGGCCACACTTACAAATCTGCAAATATACATAAGAACAACTGTTATAAATAATGAAGGTGTGCATTACATTAATAGGTTTGGGGCCTAGGGGCCATTTCAGACACTCCATACCAGATTGGGTTATATTAGTCCACAGTCACACAGAACCCAGTAAAGGAAGCAGGGTGACCTGCCACCTTTTGGTATAAAGGCAAAAGGTGCTATAAACCCCAACAGCATCTAAGGCCAGCCCTCTAAGTTGATCAAAGAAGACCAGTCTCAGGTTATATTATGTTCAACAGTCTGGTTGTTAAATGGGGATATGTGTCATGCATTTTAGGAGGATTTATGGCAAAATCATTAAAATTGAGATATTCTGGGCCTTTTTAACAGGTGCATATTGGAAAATTACCCTAGTATCCAGTATTGCATCCATGAAACATTTGTGAGCATTAAAACAGACAGAAAAATCCTAACTTTCTTGTTTTATGAAATGATTAAATCAGCGCTCTGTATGATGTTTTGAAAAGCACTGATTACATCGGAATGTATATGGATAGTATTTAGTTTTTCAAATTGTTAGATGCCAGGGACTTTATTTATTGAACAGCCATGTTCATGGGCCCACATAACCTGAGATTCCATCTGCACGATGAGGGACATTTAATATGTACCATTTCTTGCTCTTTTTATTTACTTACACTGGAATTTATGAGTTTGTACAGATGACTCTTAGTCCTTGATTTCTGCTGCCTGGCAGCCACATACTTTTCACCTTGTCCTGATAACTGTTTTCCCATTTACTACTTCTCATGCTTGGTCCCACACCTTGGGGGAATCTCACTTTGTCTAGATGAAGAAATCCAGTCACTTGGCAGTTGTATGGCTGCCATCATTAGTTCAGAGATGAACACGACATCTGCATCAGTACAGTAAAAACCTCAATTCCTGGGCTGAGCTTTGGAGGAAGTGACTTCTCTTTCCTAGTGGAGTGAAATCTGGAAAGAGATAGGCCCAGGACCCTGCCAGTCATTTTTACCCCTTGGTGGTTTGCCCTGCCCAGACTTCAGCGACCCTGAGGAAGCAGTCACAAAGGGGAGTGACCAATGGGGCCCTGTGCACATCCTATGAGCTTTTGATGAAGGTGCCCATGAAGTGTTAAGAAATAAATGTTATGTCTTCTTCAGTTTACCAGGGTCAATGCATTTCCTTTTCTCTTAAGTCAGTCTGCATTGGGTTTTCAATCACCTAAAACTGAAAAAATCCTAACTACTACACATGTATTGTTCAAACATCATAGAGGCCAGTGAGTGTCTTCTGAACTTCAAGACCAATACCTGACCCTGCTGGCCACTGCAGCTTCTTTGGGGCACTTGTTCTTGATTTAATATCTTAGGCAGAGCATTTGATTGGCTGGATCTCTGGATTATTGTGCCAATGGCCACCTGGGATGCTGTGGCCTCTGGCAGCGGGGTGGGCACTGTGTCATACCTAGGCACAGGCTGGAGACATTCCCCGCCCCCCCCCAATTGAAAGGAAGGTACAGGCAGAACAGAACAGTACTACAAACAAGCATACAAACAAAAACAAAAACTAACCCAAAGCATGAGTCCACCTTAGAATCATGGCTCAGTGGTGATGCTAGAAATTGGATCCTCATTTCAGTCACTGGAAAAATGCCATTTTCTCTTAAGTGAAAGAAGATAGTATTGTAAGTAGAACATTGTCTGGCTGAATTTTAACTCCAGAGTGGAGTCTTTATTAAGACATGGTCAGAGAATTCTAAAGAAAACTTCAGTGCATGTTAGCAAGAATAATGAGGGGAGAAAAGCATGTTTTTCCCCCCAGTTATTTCATGGTCACGTCACTCATTGTGTGTGGCACCAAGGCTTAGAAGAACATTCAGAACCTATGAAGTCTTTGCATTTGTCCTGAGAAATTTTCTACCACGAAGGAACCAGTGGCGCAGCTGGAGCTGAGGGGCTCTCTTTTTGTT